CAAACAACTGAACAGCAGTCTGTGTGGGGCGACCAGGCTGGCAGGCGGGGCAGTTGGGGGGTGACCAGGCAGGCAGGGGGCGGGCAGTTTGGGGCGACCAGGCCAGCAGGGGGAGACAGTTGTAGCCGACCAGGCCGGCAGTGGGGGCAGTGAAGGGCCACCAGGCCAGCGGGGGGCAACCAGGACAGCATGGGGGGGCAGTTAGGGGTGACCAGGCTGGCAGGAAGGCAGTAAGGGGCAACCAGTCTGGCAGGGGAGGCAATTAGGAGTGACCAGGTCAGCAGGGGGGGCAGTAAGGGGCAATCAGGTAGGCAGGCAGGCAGGTGAGCAGTAAGGAGCCAGCAGTCCTGGATTGTGAGAGGGATGTCCGACAGTCAGACATCTCCCAAGGGGTCCTGGATTGGAGAGGTGCAGTCAGGTCTGAGGGAACCCACTGCCCCCGTGCATGAATTTTGTGCACTGGCCTCTAGTGTGTGTGGATGGATAGATAGATAGATAGATAGATAGATAGATAGATAGATAGATAGATAGATAGATAGATAGATGTATTTCATCTTAGATATAGATATAGATATAGATGACTTGGTACTTTCAACCCCATCCTCCCGTCCTTTCGGGTTGATGGTGACTATGAGTTGAAGCTGCCATTAAAATCCTTGAACTACAGGATCTGGAGAGCATCCAGGTTAGTGAACATGTGGAGGTGCTGGGAGGGTGGCGTGCCTATAGGGGCATGGAAGCTCCTACTTCCTTCCCCCATACCTTGCCCTGTACATCTCTTTCGCCATTTTTTTTTAATCCCCACCCAAGGATATGTTTTTATTGGTTTGAGAGAGAGAAAAAGAGAGAGAGAAACATCGATGTGAGAATCATCTACATTGATTGGTTGATTCTTGTATGCACCCCAACTGGAAATGGAACTCACAACCTAGGTATGTGTCCTGACTGGGATTTGAACCCTCAGTCTTTTGGTGCATGGGGTGATGCTCCAACCAACTGAGCCACCAAACCAGGGCCTGTGTCATATCTATACTAATAAAAGGGAGGTATGCTAATTAGACCAGGAGACCTTCTGGGAGACCTTCCGGATGTCCTTCCAGACAAAGCCATGGTAGCAGGGCCGAGGCAGAGGAAGTGAGGGGTGATCAAGCCATAAGGGGAGGGCAGTTGGGGGTGATCAGGCTGGTGTGGGGGGCAGTGGGAGTAAGCAGGCCAGCCGGGGTGGGGAGGCAGTTGGTGGCAGTTGGGGGCGAGCAGGCCTGCAGGCAGAGTGGTTAGTGGTGATCAGGCAGGCAGGTGAGCGGTTAGGAGCAAGTGATCCCAGATTGTGAGAGGGATGTGACTGCTGGTTTATCCCCAATCCGCTGTGAACATCCCCTGAGGGGTCCCAGATTGGAGAGGGTGCCGGCCAGCTGAGGGACACACCCCACCTCCCGTGCACTGGGCCACTAGTCCTTTATAATAAACCAATGATCTAACCCATTTTCCTGGGTTCTGAGAGCCCTTCTAGCAAATTATTGAACCCAAGGAGAAGTTGTGGGAATCCCTGGAAAGAAATTTGTGGGTAACCTGGGACCCATTATCTGGGATTGGCATCTGAAGTTGGGGCAGGTTGGTGGGACTGAACCCTTAACCTGTGGGGTCTTCAATAACTCCTGTTGGTGTCAGAATTGAGTTAAATCGGAGGAAACAAAGTTGGTGTCCACGGAGAACTGGAAACAGTTTGGTGGGGAAATCCCACAGCTGGTACGGACTGTGAGTGTTGTAGAGGAGAAACAGAGGTGACTTTCCCTTTTCGGGCCCTGAGGAGGCCCCAGAGAGCCAGCCGCCCTGGGTCTGAAAGATGAATCAGGTCAGGCAGCCCTGGGGAAGGGCCAGGTGGGGTCTAATTGGGTGTGGGGAGGGCCCAGGGCTGGGTCTCAAAGGACCCAGAATCCTGGGATAAGGAGTCTGGTTCTGGAAGAGTCAGGCACACAGTATGCACTCAATCAATGTGTATTTAATTAATTTTTATTTTGCTCAAAAGTTGACTTTGTTCATAATCAAAATATAAACTGTGTATAGCATGTTGCTTCACACATTCCCCAAGAAGGTGGAGCCTTCTCCTTCTGGCCAGGTGATTGGAAAGGATTCCTGTCAATGCATTTTCTGGGTCTTGTTTTCGCTGGCCTGCAAAAGAAGGTGGGTGTGTCAGACAGGGCCCGGAGCTGACAATGGGAGGAGGGTATGGGCAGTCAGTTTGGAGGGACTGCCAGACTCCAGGCCAATGGAGGGCCCCACTACCTTCTTGGATCTGAACTGTGCCTCCATCAAACCATCCCCAGCCCTTGCTCTTACCAAATGCAGCCCCCACCCCCATCCCCAGCCAGCCCCAGACATCCCCAGATGCTAATCCCAGGCTCGCTCTGACCTTATTGTAGCAGTAGACGCCGATTCCTATGAGTCCTACTGCCACCACGCCCACGGATAGCACAAGCGCACTGGTCCCTGATGCCAATATTTTCAGACCACTTGCTCCCTATATGGAGGAAGAAAGGGGAAGGGTGACCTGTGACCCCAGGCTCACCCCGCAGGATAGACACAATAAGGGGACTATGGGGCTCAGGGTCCCGGACTGACAGGATGGGTGGAACCAGAGGGAAGAGGAACACTCAAGATGGCGCCATCCACTGAGCTGAGTGGGAAGAATGGGCTTCAAGGCAGATGCTGGCTCTGCTCCACCCTCTGTAGTGAGCAACTGGTGGCCTCAGGATGGCCCTTGGCCCTCTGGGCCCTGCCACCTCATAGGTCATGGGGATGGCACTCTCCAACCCCTGGGCTGGAGGGAGAAAGCAAGTGGCCAGTGGAGCTGCTCAGAGGGTGAGCTGGGCACACGGTAGAGGGTCCTGCAGGCTCTGGGGGATGTGGCCCTTCTGACTCCCCCAGCAGGGGATGGAGGCTGAGGGGTCCCTGTGTAACCGGACAATCAGGGGGTCTGTGCTGCCTGTCACTCCCTGAGCCAATTCAGCAGAGCGTTTATTCCAATACTGCTGGCAGTGAGGTGAGCAGCAGGTCGTCCCCAAACATCTGCTCTGGGCCCCACCATAAACCTGCTGCTTATATTGGGTAGAAGGACAAAGATTACATGGGGAAGTAGGCAAGGGTATGCCAAATGGGCAGTTTACAGGTCATACAGGCTGGAGATTTGCAAAGGCCTGAGCGTATGCAAAGGCTGGGGGTCTTCAAAGGGCTGGCAATATGGGAAGGGCTCCAGGCTCTGGTTTCTACAACTAGGTTGTTAGTCTTTCCATGATAACAGGCGGCTCCCTGGTGGGGATGATGGGCTGCATTTCCAGGTGAGCTCCCAGCCAGGTCAGAATGTGTCTTCTTTCATCAGAACAAAACAATCAGGGTTAACAGGGCATGATTAATATTTCTTACAATTTCAGTTGGTCCCCAATATTCTGTTTCTGCCCCTAACACCTGGGTGCTCTGAGAACTCCTGGCCTGATGCTTGAGATGCCCCATCCCATGGTCCTGGGGTCTTAGCCCAGGGGGAGCAGTGGGCCCCCTTATAGGCCCTGAGTTGTCCTGGGTGCACCCTGTCAATGGGGGAAATGACCAGAGTCCTGTTTTTGTCCCAGTAACTGGCGGCTGGGCATGGCCAGGCCTGGCTGAATCTCACCAAACTGAGCATGAATGCAGTACTTTCTTTTACGGGCATCTTCTCAAGGAATCAGAGCTCACACCTGTAGGGAGAACACCCCAAGTCACCTTCCCACACACTCCAATTGCCCTAGGGCCTCTGGGATCTGCTCCTCCAAGGGGGAAGCCTGGTCCCAACCTCACAGGGATCCTGCCCTGAGGGGATCACCTGGACAACAAGAGACCTGAGGGTTAATGGCCCTGGACCAGGCCCATTCTCTGGGGGTGAGGGGGTGGGGGATTGTCTGTGGAGTCCCAGGGCCAGGCTTTGCTTTGGGCTCAGGAGTGCCCTCTGCAGGCCTCGGGGAGAGCTCACCTACCCCCCCACCCTCCATTGCCTCTGAGCTCCCCAGCTTGGCTGGGGCTTCCTGTTGCAGGAGACATGGCTCTATGATTTATTCACCTTCATAGAAAAGAAACAGCATGTAGCCAGTCAGTTACTGAGTTTCCCCAGAGCAAGCAGGATGAGGGAAGGGAGGTGGGGAGAGAATATGAGAGCTGTGCACCTGGCTGGTAGCACATTTTCCAGGAAGATTCTGTAGACAAAGGGAGGTGGAGACAACTAGAAAAGGCCTCAGCCAATTAAAACACACACACACACACACACACACACACACACACACACACACACAAATAGGAGACAATAAGACCTAGGTGACTTATGGGATAGAATGTAAACTCCATATACTCAGCCAAAGAACTGGAGGAGGGACTTTCACACAAGAGGATAAATATTGCCTGTGCCAGCTAATTCAGGTGAGCCTGCACCAACGGACACCCCCCTCTCGAGAAAGTTTTAAAAGTCTCCTTTTTGCCAGACTCTGTCTCTGAGTCCGTTATTTGAATTCAGACAGGTGAGCCTTTCCCACACTGTCTCTGCACCCACCTTGGGAAACTGTTTTTTGAGGGAGCTCCTGTGGCCAGCAGCCCAGGCTTTGCCCCACCTCCTGCCCATCCTCTTCAGCCCCTCCAGCTGTGCCCCCCATACCTAGAAAACCCAGGCTTGGCTCCTGGGGCCCTGGGCCCCTCTCCTCTGCTCCCCAGGTCATATGGGGATACTCACCAGCAGACCCTCCCCCTTCCCTGTCCACCAGGCTATTTCCTTTGGCTGCTCAGAATTCCTGGCACCCCTCCTCCCCCAGCTCACTGCTCCCAGCAGGACCCATGGATAAGAACCTGCCATGGGACACATCTGGGGAGGACCTGAGGGGGTGGTCACCTGACAGGTGGTAGTGGGGTGAGGGGTGGCCCCACTGGGTTCAGAGAAAGGAGCAGCTGGGGTCCTTGACCCACTGACACTCCCTGCCCAGCTCCCCCCACACATTCCAAGGCCAGGGTGTCGGCTAACCTGGCTCTCACCCTTTGTCCTCAGTTGCCCTTCTAGAAGGCAGATCTGATTCCTGCCTGCAAATCATGTCCCTGCTGAATCTAGGCCTCCCTTGGCTGAGGACCCCATTCCCTGAGGCTGAGCCTGCTGCCCTGTTCCAACCCCCTGCTGGACTCCCACATCTTGGTGAGGCAGCTCTCCTACCCTGGTGCCCCTACCTGTCCCCCGGCTCTTACCTTGAGGAGGCCAACCTCTCTCCTCCTGCTCTGGCTGGTCCAGACCCAGAAACAGACTTTGGACTTTGCTTCCTGTTCTTCCCACTGTGTATCCAGTGGCTTCACTGAGATAATTTTTTTCTGAGGTGATTATGGCTCATTTTATTTTCTTTTGCTTTCACTTGCTCTGAAGAAAAAGCAGTTAACACATAGCTTTTTGTGAGTCAACTAAGGACAACTGAGGGCGAGGGACAGAGGGAGAAAATCAATGCCTGGGCAGGCTTGCCTCATGGCCGCTAGAGGAGAAATATAGTTGAAGCCCCAGACAGTAGGGGCAGTGCCAGGGGGTGGTGGGGACTGAGGCCAAGGATTCCATAATCCGGAGTCATTTGAAGAGGACCCCGAGCCTGTGGTGCAAACAGAGCTTCAGGTCCAGTCCTGTGTCCAGTCCCCGCCCACAGTCTGCAGCCCCCATCCCGCACTCAGAATCCTTGGAGCCAACATTTTTGGCAAAGGCCCTTCCCTTGGAACAGCAGTTCTCAACCTGTGGGTCGCGACCCCTTTGGCGATCGAGCGACCCTTTCACAGGGGTCGCCTAAGACCATCCTGCATATCAGATATTTACATTACGGTTCAGAACAGTAGCAACATTACAGTTATGAAGTAGCAACGAAAATAATGTTATGGTTGGGTCACAACATGAGGAACTGTATTTTAAGGGCCAGAAGGTTGAGAACCACTGCCTTGGAAGCTCACAGTGTTAGAAACGCTCTCAAGGATGTTGCAGGAACGAGGCAAACTGGAAACTGGATCTGCAAGGCCATCTACCCCTGCACAGAAGGGTGCTCTCCCAGCTGGAAATCAAGGGCAAAGCACATCCAACGGGAAGTCTGATGGGGTTTCATTTCCTGACCCGGGGTCTGCCACTCACTCTGAACTCTGACTTGATTGGTCAGGGCTCAGAGCCCGGCTTCCCATTATTGTGTGATTGGCTAATTCAGAGGACAGGGAGGGGTAAGACAGAGCCCAAGATGGTGGCCCCCAGGGGCTGTGTGTCTTCTTGCAGAACTAAGTGCGTTCTGCAAGCCTAAGCTTTGCAAAAACATATTCCCCTTGAGAGAATATTTTACAAGGACTTCTGAGACTACAACTCTTGCACAGCCCAGATACAAGCGTCAACAGAAGCCGCCTGCAGCCCAGCCCAGATACATGTCATTCGAAGCCATCTGCAGCTTTCCCTAAGCACATAAAAAGCCTGCTTCCTCTCCCATTCGCTGCTGACTTCTTTCTGGAACTCAGCCTGTCTGCACCCAGATGCCTTGAATAAATATAATTTTGATTACACTGAGCCTTGAGTTGGTTCTGTGTGACCCTGGCCCAACTTGGAACCTTTCAGACCCCGACATTGTATTTCAGCTAACCTTGCTGAGCATGCAGCCTGCCTGACGTGTGCCTTGAGAACCATGGGAATACAGAGTTCCTGTTCGAATGCATGATTATTTCAGTTAATTGAACTAATACCCTATAGATGGGCATTTTGTTTTTTTCTACTTTTTTATATTATGAAATTGTGCCAGCAGTGTATGTATGTGAATGTGTTAACATAAAAACATTCAAACCCATAAAGAATTTTTGTGAGTTTATTTGAGCCAAAATCTACAATTGCCGGGAAGCAGAACCTCAAGGGATTGAGATAATGCTCCGGAGAATGGCAGGTTACATCTATATTTATACACTGCAATCAAAGGAAGAGATGTAGGTGAGTTACATGAAATCCATTGGTGATAGATTAGAGAGGCGGGAGAAAACAAATAGGGGGTGGAGGGGAACCCCTAGGATTGGATAAAAAGTAAAATGATAGACACGTACTTAGGTGGGTGCAGGATCAATTAACATGATAACAGTGAAGGAGTTTGTGGTGTCTGTCCTGGCACATTAGGTTGTGCACCAAGGGGTCCAGAAAAAGGGAAGTTACAAGTTACCCAGACATTTCAAGATGTGTTATTATAGATGCAAAGAGACAGATAGGCTCAGTTCAGGTAGGTAAATGTTGATCTTGTCAGTGAAGATACTGGCCTAGGATATAGCTACCCACCATACTGCTTTTAGTTAAAGTTTAATTTCAGATCATCCTTTGTGGTTACTTTAGGTCTCTGAGTTTGCAAGACCGCCTAGCACAGTGGTCGGCAAACCGTGGCTTGTGAGCCACATGCGGCTTTTTGGCCCCTTGAGTGTGCCTCTTCCACAAAATACCACGTGCGGGCGTGTATGTACAGGGAATGTTGTGGAGTGAAAGAAGATGTAGTGTCGAGGATTGAGAAAGGTATGTTGAGATGGTTTGGACATATAGATGAACGAAAGGAGATAGACGATTCCGGTCAAGGGCATGTACCTTGGTTGTGGGCACATCCCCAGTAGGGGGTGTGCAGGAGGCAGCTGATCGATGTTTCTCTCTCATCGATGTTTCTAACTTTCTATCCCTCTCACTTCCTCTCTGTAAAAAATCAATAAAAGAAAGGAGATAGACGAAACAAGTATACAAGACGAGTGTGGATGGGAGAGTTGGAAGGGGTCGACCTCAGCGAACGTACCTCAATCAGATTGAGGACATTTTTAGCAAAGGCCAGCTTAGGAGTACCCTAATTAAGTTAATAACAATGTACCTACCTACATAGTTTTAGTTTAAAAAATTTGGCTCTCAAAAGAAATTTCAATCGTTGTACTGTTGATATTTGGCTCTGTTGACTAATGAGTTTGCCGACCACTGGCCTAGCAGGCCTTCCCTGAGCTTGTCAGGTTAGCATGTGGCCCCTTTCATCCACAAAGGTTTCTGTTGGACCTTTGAAACTCGAATATCGAACTGGGCAGGATGCAAAGGTAGCTTCCTGGGTTCTTGTCCAGGTGGATTCGAAGAATGAAGCCACGGACAAAAGGTGGAAAAGGTGGAAATTTATTGAGAAACAAGCACAGACTCCCACGCGGGGAGCGGGAGAGAGTCCCACTAAGTCCCTTTCCTAAGGTTTATAAAGGCTGCAGGTCTTTGTGTCCTGATATCCCCCTGATTGGTCTATAGCAGCTTCAGAGCTCAAACCTCACATGAGGTTCCCCTCTTCTCTCCCTTGTGTCTTTCTATTCCCTTTGGCCTCCTCTTCCTTCTCTGAGTGAGTGGCTTCCTTCCCTTTACTCTGTAAATTCACACCTCCTGGCAGCTCCCTTATTCTGAAATGTATACCTTTGGGCAGCTCCCAGCTTTGCAGCCTGTGGTTCTCCCCATGGAACCCCTCATTCCTAAAACTTCCTAAACCTGCCTATTTAACCCTAAAAACTGCTCTCCCCTTCAGCCTGCATGGTGCGCTGTGGCCCCTCCAGTGATCAGCTCCCACTGTGCCTCCGGGGGCTCTGCAGTGCGGGGCTGAAGGGTCCGGCCAGTTGAGGGGAATGCCACTTCATATTTTATCATTTTTAAGTGATGGGAGTTTGACTGATTGGTCTTTTACTTTTCAGCAGGCCCCCTGCCCCTGAGTATTTTAAAATAAAAAATATCAAGTCTGGCAGTTAGAATTCATCTGAAATAAAACTTTAAGCCCAGCCACCATGGCTCAGTGGTTGAGCATCAAGCTATGAACCAGGAGGTCACGGTTCATAGTCCCAGTCAGACATGCCCCCCGGGTTGTTGGCTCAATCCCCAGTTGGGGCATGCAGGGGGCAGCCAATCAATGATTCTCTCTCATCATTGAATGTTTCTATTTCTCTCTCCCTCTCCTTCCCTCTCTGAAATCAATAAAAATATATTTAAAAAAAAAACTTCAACTGCTAACCTCTCTAAAGAGACTAAGTAAATAATGCTAATGCGGTAGGCAGCTAGGCATGAGCAGAGCAAGGATGATGGGCAGGTACAGAAAGCCACCAGGGTGGAACGCCCCAGGTGCATAGCAATGGGGATAACTGGTAAAACAAGAACCTTGCCCCCAGGGTGACCTATGCTTCCCTAGCTTATCACTGGTCATTCGGTTTAGATCCCTGACCTTTCATATCGCTCGTCATATGGTTTGGACGCTCCCCTGACCTTTCCTCCCCAGGCATGTTGCTAGCCATACAGGTTACACCTCCTTAGAGGGGAACAAACAAGGGGGCCGGAGAATAGCCCTTCAGCATTAAGGCCCCAGGACAATGAGGCTCTGACCAGCATCAAATCCACCTAGACCTCAGCTGTGTTTCAGCTCCAGGCCCAGACAAGCAGCCAAACCCGACAAGCCACACTATGGCTGACATCAGGACCAGCTGTGTTGACTAATGACCCTTGCCCTGGCGCCAGCCCTGAAAGGACACACTGGGAAAGCTGATAAATATTCTATTGGGATCCTCCCCTGAGACCTCAGCTGGAGTGCGGCTCTCTCCAGGAGCACACCCTCTCCCTTCCCCTCTCCCTTCCCCCAGGCATGGTTTTCTTGCCTTTCTCTCTCCTAAATTCCTAAAACTTCCTAAACCTGCCTATTTAACCCTAAAAACTGCTCTCCCCTTCAGCCTGCATGGTGCGCTGTGGCCCCTCCAGTGATCAGCTCCCACTGTGCCTCCGGGGGCTCTGCAGTGCGGGGCTGAAGGGTCCGGCCAGTTGAGGGGAATGCCACTTCATATTTTATCATTTTTAAGTGATGGGAGTTTGACTGATTGGTCTTTTACTTTTCAGCAGGCCCCCTGCCCCTGAGTATTTTAAAATAAAAAATATCAAGTCTGGCAGTTAGAATTCATCTGAAATAAAACTTTAAGCCCAGCCACCATGGCTCAGTGGTTGAGCATCAAGCTATGAACCAGGAGGTCACGGTTCATAGTCCCAGTCAGGGCACATGCCCGGGTTGTTGGCTCAATCCCCAGTTGGGGCATGCAGGGGGCAGCCAATCAATGATTCTCTCTCATCATTGAATGTTTCTATTTCTCTCTCCCTCTCCTTCCCTCTCTGAAATCAATAAAAATATATTTAAAAAAAAAACTTCAACTGCTAACCTCTCTAAAGAGACTAAGTAAATAATGCTAATGCGGTAGGCAGCTAGGCATGAGCAGAGCAAGGATGATGGGCAGGTACAGAAAGCCACCAGGGTGGAACGCCCCAGGTGCATAGCAATGGGGATAACTGGTAAAACAAGAACCTTGCCCCCAGGGTGACCTATGCTTCCCTAGCTTATCACTGGTCATTCGGTTTAGATCCCTGACCTTTCATATCGCTCGTCATATGGTTTGGACGCTCCCCTGACCTTTCCTCCCCAGGCATGTTGCTAGCCATACAGGTTACACCTCCTTAGAGGGGAACAAACAAGGGGGCCGGAGAATAGCCCTTCAGCATTAAGGCCCCAGGACAATGAGGCTCTGACCAGCATCAAATCCACCTAGACCTCAGCTGTGTTTCAGCTCCAGGCCCAGACAAGCAGCCAAACCCGACAAGCCACACTATGGCTGACATCAGGACCAGCTGTGTTGACTAATGACCCTTGCCCTGGCGCCAGCCCTGAAAGGACACACTGGGAAAGCTGATAAATATTCTATTGGGATCCTCCCCTGAGACCTCAGCTGGAGTGCGGCTCTCTCCAGGAGCACACCCTCTCCCTTCCCCTCTCCCTTCCCCCAGGCATGGTTTTCTTGCCTTTCTCTCTCCTAAGCTCCAAGGGTCCTTTTTTTGCCTCTGTAACTTGTTTCCTGAGCCCATTTCTTCTACAGCTCACTTCTTCTACCTCTGTAACTTCATAAATAAACTTTCTTTTATAGTTTGAGTCTTGAGTCTTTCTTAGCCAGAATTCAAGTACCAAGGTTGCTGAACCAAGGTTTGGTCTGACTCCACTGGTCTAATACCTGGTGCTATTTTCACTGCCAACACTAAGAAAATAAAAGTTAGTGCTTTAAGAGC